ATGCAGCCAAACCTGGACTACAACAAACCAAACTCAGCATTATGGGGTCATGGCATTGCCTCAACTCAACCGTAAGAACAGGGCAATATCTGTAACTGGAATCTCAACAGAATCTTAGCTCACCCAACTGTAAGTGCAGGGAATACACATCCTGCATCTGGAATTACAAGGAGGATATGGAACATTCGCTCAACCATAGGAACAGTGTACGTACATCCTGTTGCCAGTATTATGAGGCAAAGTCCCTCATACTCAACCATAGGAGCAGGGAAGAAACCACTTGCAACCAGAATTAATGAAAAGGGGGCCTCTACTGCACACAACTATAGAAACAGGGCAGTGTCATCCCAAACCTGGTATCACAAGGAGAATCCTGCATAGTCTGGTCCTACTCCAACTGATAACTGTCCATCTGGGAATTAGCATCCAGGGGAAATAGAAGGAGGGAAACCAGTTTTGCTCTCTTTTCACTGAGTGGTATGTTAAAAGTCTACAACACACTTCATGGTTATCCACCCCAGTGGCTAGGAACTTGGAAGTGATAAGGACTCCTTTGCTCCACACAGAGAAAAATGGGGGAAGTAAATGCGGTGCGGAGTCCAAAGGAATGTCACACTGGAGAAAGTGCAGTGGGTATCCACGATTCCCTATTTTGAAAAGCAGACTGTCCTTGATTTATTCAATCAAGGGTTCAGCAGGAATGGGCAGAAATACCCTTCTGCTTTACTCATGATAGTCCATAAATGACATTTCCACCACTGAGTTAAACTTATGGATACTGAGAAACATATGCATATACCACTGGGCATGGCATCACTGGTCTTGCAAAACATCCCATCTCTACAGTGAGCATTGTAGTGCAAGCAGTAAATAGTGCAGGGTTGGGGTAATCTGTAGGTAATCTATTTTTAATCTTAATTCAAAAGACTTTCAGCACTTCTATTCCCAAGAAGAATACAGATGGTGCAATACTATTGGTGGAGAGTAGTCACATGATATGTACATGTTTAAAAGTGCAGTGAAGTTGGGGGTTATATAGATTAGTGCAATGCTTAGAGGGCTGAAATAAGATTGAGATAGCTTTGTGTGAGAGAAGGTAAGACTATACCGGAAGTCTATATACGTCATGATATTGACTTATCTTTTCATATTAGTGATAATATTTGCTATTAAATCAGAAAACATTAAAGGCTTGATTGAGTTCAGTTGTAAGATTTGTTTGAGTCAAAGAGTTTTTCAGCCATTATTCTCCAATTAGATATGAACTCATTTACTTTTTTTTTCCCTTAATATTCTTGACACACAGCTCTTGTGTTTAAGAACTTAAAGTCCTTAAACATCTTGAAGGCATGGCTGGTATCTTTATTAAACAAGAAAGAAACACTAGTATTAAAATAAATCTCATCCTAGTAAAATAAGATTAGTAGAGCAAATACCTTGGAGTTAGAGTGGTAAGTTAAAATTAAAACCTCTTAATAAAACAAATTTCCTGCAGATGCACACTCTTCTTGTTACTATTCAATTTTATCTAGTTTATAAAAGGTTCTCCATAAGATTCAGAATTAGGGATGAAATACCCTTGACTATCAAACTGTAAGGGTGAAACTTTGATATCTGAAAGTGAACATTAAATTATTAGATTGAAAAAACTGATGATGATGCTGACACCCCCTGTAACAATTACACCTTGCCTTTGTATCTTAGCTAATGATATCCTTTTAGTTTTAGATCTGTTCAACACCTATACATGTATGTGTGTTGACATTAGTGACTTTGTGATAGGAGGTGAAAACTGAAGAAATTGTTGTGTGTGACATTGTGATGTATTGTGCTATGATAAATATTCACCTTAAAACTGGCAAAAGTCATTAATTTTCACCACTTTAGGACCAATATCTGTGATCATTATGTAATAATTACAACTCCAAGAAAACATCCTTTAGCCTAAGAAGAAGGCTGATTGTTGATAATCATTTGTCTTCAATGGTGCAACATGTAACAGCTCATGATCAACTATTGACTGCCTGAAAATCTGATAAATGCCACGTTTATTTTAATTGCAAATTATGTAGGTATGAAAGCCTGTATAATCAAACATAGGCAATGATGCAAAAATATAGCAAATTACAGTAATGTTATTTTCATAATAAAAATTTTGTAAGGAAATAAATGTTTGCTGGATTAACAATTCCTTAGATCTATAAAGATTTTTTTTTAATCAGACAACTTAAACATTCCACCAATTTATGGAACTTCAGCCTATATACTATACGTACACTAAAAAATTAAAAATCATCAAGTTGCCAATTTCAAAACTTACTGTAGGTAATATATTTTTAATCTTAATTCAAAAGACTTTCAGCACTTCTATTCCCAAGAAGAATATATTTTAAGATAATTTAGGGTACATCAATAATAGCAAAAGCAGAAGATCATCTTGTAACATTTCAGCAGTGGCTAATGATTTGAATAGTTTGAAATAATATCCAAAAATGGTAATTAGGTACCCATGAATTGATATGTTTAAGATATAAACTGAATTACATTGAATATAAGTATTTCTTGAGGAAAAAAAGAACGTAATTCATCAAAATAAAACAAAACATAAAAGTTACAGGTATTTTTTGGGTGATATGTTGTGTTATTCTACATCCTAAAAGCTACCTCCTATATGAAATAGAAGCCTAATTTGTCAGAACTGTTTGAATGGCATGGACAAAGAATCAGTATATGCAAGTAATGTTATTACAGATAATGAGTGCTTAATGTTTTGCTTTTAGTTTGACACAAAACAGAAAATAACCTAGTAAAATTTACAGAAATTGGTATTGTGCAAAAAGAGTAACTGAAGTGCTTAGTTATGTCTAGATTAATAATGTTTGTTTTGAATACATAGGAAATAAATTGCCAAAAAATAAGAACACTTGACCTGTGACTTTTTTAAGCTTCCATAGTTTTGAAAGAATCACCATTTCATACAATATATTGTTGCGTCAGCGAAGTCACATGACTAGTGTCACGCCACATTTCTAGAACTATCCTGT